TAGATTCACCATCCCTGGAGGTTTTCAAGACGAGACTGGATGTGGCACTTGGTGCCATGATCTAGTAACAATGGTACGGTTGGACTCGATCTTTGAGGTCTTCTCCAACCTGGTTGATTCTATGATTCTATGCTTTTCCCCTTAAGAGAGTAAACTCTGTGTTTAGAAGGGATGCATATGATAAATGTTCTCGAGCTTCTGTCCTGGATTGGTTCATTGGCCAAATAACCGTTCGCCCTGCTGCAGTACCACGGACGTGCGGCAGGTGGCGCACGAGGCTGGGTTTTCACGGCGGTGCCACTTTGATCCCGCCTGGATCTAGCATCCCTTGCCACTCTTTTTGCGGTAGGAGAAAGAGATACGGAATAGAAAATAAACTACGAATGAAAGAAACCAAACAAAGCTACAAAGCTCTAGGAAACTATCTTGTAATATCTCTGAACTTACAGAAAAGCCTCTAAGGATTCTGCATTTCTTTCGTGTTCAACTGATTTGGGTTCATATTAAAACTACCTTTTCCTTGTTTTAGTATTGCAGCAGAGGTTTAGTTCTGACAAGCTAGCAACTAATCTGAGACCCCCTACACACGGCTGCTCCTCTGCCCAATCCTTCTGCAACAGAACTGCTGCCCACACTATTTGTCCTTTTCCACCCCCTCCTGCCTTCTTTAAGGCAGAGGTGGTGGTAGGGGGTAGGCTTAATAGTGGAGGAACCCACAAAGATTTCCCAACTCCTAAGCGTGTGCCCAAATTGCAAGGTTGCCCTTCTTTCCTGTAGTACAAAACCATTTGCAACACCATCACTTTACCTTCAAAGAGAGAATAAGGTCGGTCAGGAATACGACATCCATGTGCACCATACTCCAAACACCATTCAGCAAACTGGGGAACACATCAAAAATAATTTTATTTAAGACTGTGAAATGCAAGATTGAGTATCTGCCTATCACTAATAGGTACACAATGTAAAGCAGTGTAGGCAGACAACACACAAATCGTTATCTGAAATCAATGTGTCCTACTTCAGCCAAGACAAGGCCACAGTCAGGTTTCAGAATACAGATTTTCACAGCCTGAGTGTCAGTTTCAAAACAGTGTAATTAGGTTGTTAGACTTAACGTCTGCTTTTTGTAAATCAACCCTGCTACAGTCAGTGAAAAACACTGTAAGAACAGATAGACTCAGTCAAAATTTTCCTAATACTGTATCAGTTTCTGATCTGTCTTGATGCTTAATTTATCCACATACTCAAGACTTAGGGCTGTTTATGACATTTTGGTTTTATTTCACTTCTGTGCAACAATTTAGAGTATAAAATCTCCAACTGCTGTTACTTAGTTTTATTTATTTGCTCCCCCCAATCCTTATGAAAAGTTGTTATAAATACAGTTAGACAATTCATGTCATCGACATTCTGTTGCAGAAGATGAATTACCATTAAAAAGAGTTAACAATGTCTTTCTTGTGTTTGATCACCACTGCTGCAGTAGCTACATTAGACACACATGACTTACAAACCACATGTGGATCAATTTATTAACAACCATCTATTTCTCTTTTATGGCTCCTCAGCACATAAAGGGGCCACAAGTTCCCCTTGGCACTTCTGTGCTTGGATGCAAACCACTGCGTATTCAAAATACAGAGCAAAGATTCCTGCAAAGCAAAGAACTGAAAGGTTTCTCCCTACTTCCCCCTGAAACCTGGGCAACCTGCTAGCAAACAGATCATCCTAAGTAGAGGGTGCCCCAGCTCTGTTGAAGGCATATGGGGTGTAAGCATGATCCCAGAGCCATTGGTCTGTTCAGGTGTGGGCATCTCCTCCCTTCCTCCTCCCACCCTGTTGGGGATGGATTTCAATTCTCTTGGTAGTGGTATGAGCATGTATGCGAATATCTTCAGGAAACTCAGCAAAAAAACCACAAACATTGTGATCTACACCGATGTGGACAACTGATGAAACATTTCTGGCCTCCCTCCCAGGTATAAATCTTCAAACCAAGGTTTAATTCTCCCATGTAATCTTGTCTTGAATGTGAGGACTGAACAAGTTTGTGGCATGCTTCTAAGCTACAATCAATTCTTGCAACATTCCTATCTTATTGCATACCAGCCTTTATTATTACTTCCACCCTGGGAACTGCAACAGAAATTTTAAAAATGCACCCGAGGCCACTGAAGCATAACCATCCTTTACAAGTTCATAGCTACAGCATTACTCAGATCCAGTAATCCACATTAGTATCTTTAGTTTAACCAAGAGAAAAAAATAAAAAGCAAAATATCTTAGGAAGACATCTGCCATTATTTGTCACACAGATTGGACGAGCTTGCCACCAGCAGTGGCAATCACAACTCTGAGCAGCACAGGGCTCAGATGTTCTCTGCTGCCCCGAGCCCAGGATGACACAGCCCCTCTCTGACAGACAGGCCAGCTGGGAGCAGCTCAGCCTCCTGGGAGCATGTCTGATAATGCTAGAGAGGAGCTGTGAAGATGAAAGTGTGAAGCACAAATCAGGGGTCTCTTACCTTCAAGCTCTTCTGATTCACTTGTGAAACAGTTTCATGGCTCCCAAGAGGTAACTAGGGACTCCTGGGAAGACTCCTTCCCCTGGGCCTCATGTTTTCAGTGTGAACAAAGATCTCTGGGAGGGGAGCTATCTAGTTCTCTCAGTTACATGCTTTTAGGTACCAACATAACTGCATCCTTGCTTCCCTGCATGATTTGACTCAAAAAGAAGAGAATACCAGAATGCCAGACAAGCAAATTCCTTTGTCTGTTTCAAGGTTTCCCCTGCAAGGGCCTGGCTGAATGCTGGAGATACTAAACGGAGTGGCTGCAAATATGCTGCTAGACCTGACTATGCTGGGCACCTCCAGCAAGCAGTCTTTGGCCACTGTGCCACAACTTCCTTCTCAAAGGGATTTCAGGTACGTAACTGAGCCTTCTTCCTTTTTTGGCTTTGAAATAGAAATGCTTCTTTTCTCTAGCTTGCTGTGGTCAAATGTCAGGACTCTCCTGGGCCAGAAATGCAGCATCAACAGAAGCTGCCAATGCTGCCCAGAGCAACAGAGCATGTGCTAGCATGGAGGATGACAGGGAAAGCTGATAGCTGTGCTGACAGCAGTGCCTGCAGGGTGCTGTGGCTCACACATCAGCAGCAGCTGACTCCATGAGTAACAAAGCCACACACTTGCTGTGGGAGTACTAGGGGTTTAATTCCATCTCTACGGTGCAGGTATGCCTACAGGTGTCCTCATGGGGTGATGCTTTGGTAAATGTGAGACAAGCAGGAACTTTTTTAAGTTGTGCTGATATAGGACAGGCTGACAGCACAGAAGAACACAATAGTTTTACGTATGGCCAGGGCTCATCTAGAAGCAGCTCAGCAAATTTCAATGGCAATACTTTCAAAAAGGCCTCACCTAAATAGCTATGTATGCAATATGAAACCTAATGTCAGAGAATTAATCTGAAAAAAGATCCAACAAAAACCAAATCCAAACCAAAGTCTTACGAGATGAGGAAACAGGCAGAAAAAGCTTTCTCCTTTGGTAACTGCTAGCCTAGTTAGAGCTGATGGCAGAACCTGGAGAATTCCAGTGGAAAAACTCCTAGTGTGTCTTTCTCTGCAATTTGTATTAATGAAAACCTCTAAATGAGCAATTTAATAACTGTGTTTCAGAGCTCTAAAAGCTTCAAACAGGCACTAGTCTGAAAACAAATAATTACAAAAGACTAAAATAGTATTGCTTGAGGAGCTCAGGAGAACAGTGAATATCTCAATGGAATAATTAGCACCACATAACCATCAGTCTCTTATTGTTCAGGCAAGCTAATTTTCAGACTACAAATTTCTTCTGAATCCATGTTTAGTTCCTCCCCTCTTACAGAACATTTGCATTTCATTCTGCATATTAAGACAGTGTGTGCTCCACATACACAGCTGAAGTCATCCAAAGTGTGCGTAAGGGGAGCAAGTAGGACCCTGTTGTCCCACCCAACACAGCCAGCACAGCCAGCTCCAGTGCCTAACAGCCTCTGTCCCACCCAACACAGCCAGCTCCAGTGCCTAACAGCCTACTCTGATCACAGCACACCCCGGCACAGCATTGTGATGTGAAAGGGAACAGTGATTTTGTTAGGATGCTGCAGAGCTCACCTTGCAAGCTCGGTAGAGGTACTTTTTGTCCTGAGTTAGGTTATAGAGAGACAAGAAGGAGTAGCCATTGCCAGCAGTACCATGGCAGATCCCGTATCCTTTTCTCAATAAACCTCTCTGCCAGATGACATCACTACAATCCATAGCATCTTTCAAGTATTTATCCTCTTTAAAAGTCTGTGGAATAAAACCAGAGAATAAACACACATAAATTAAATACTAATGAAAACAAAAGGAAGCTGCACCTGAAGCTGCTGTTGTGGGGTTTTTCCATACACAATTTATTTTGAATTTTAATAAACCATTCCTTATAGACTTGCCTTTCTTTTCTTACTAAGTTGTTTCTCCTTTCCCTGCATGGAAAAAGACAGAACTTCTCAAGTTTTTGTTTCTGAAATCAAGACTCAGGTTCAAGGCCTTTGTTTCTACAACCTATAATCTGTTTGAAGGGTATGTGGTCCTATTTTCACTACACCCTCCATTCCCAAACCAGGATTTGAAAATACAGTAGTGTAACTCTGCCTTCAAGAAATGTAAAACAGAATACTGGACATCAAATCTGGTCCTAAAGGGCTAGGTCCTGGTATTCCTGACTAATTGTTCTTGGTTACTCAACGTCTGCCTTCAGTTCCATGTCAAAAATGCACAAGAATTTCTCTTTGCATAGCACAGGTCTCTTCTCTGTCACAAGTACAAGTAGGAACACTCCATTGCCTTGACAAGTACTTGTATTAGAAATACTCAGAAGCACTAGCCAGTTCAAGCAAAGGACCAATTTTGCAGAGTTTATTGCAACTGAAGTGCATTTTGGACAGAGAGTACATCCAGAGAGTAGCAAACAAAACCAAGTAATTTAGCTGAACACTACCAGAACTCCATGTTCATAAGGATACTTTTTTGGTCACCTTTGCCTAAATCACTCTACGTATCAACAAGATCAAAAAAACCCCAAAACATCCCAACAAAAAAAGGCCCCAAAACCAAACCTGATGTACTACTGTAAACTCTGTCCTTTGGAGACGGCATCCTCTGCCAGGCTATTTAACAAGGTAATAGAAGCAATTAACATGCAAGATTCTTAAATCCACAAGCTTGATAAAGAAAGTTCCTCTCTCTGAACATGGTTTGCCAGCTGTAACATTTTGAATTAAGACTTGGAAGCAGCATTTGATTTCCAGGACAAACACTGCTACCTGTTATCACAAGTGCCTGTGCTTGGAATGAAAGCACAGCCAGCAAAACATACTCTCAGTTTTTCCTATTACTGCTTCATAAAGTAGAATACAAAGAGTGAAAAAAAATCACATGTCCCATCACCTTAAACATAAAAAGAAGCCAAAAATGAGACTTCTAAAGAGAACTCGGTCCTATCCCTCTTTTCTCCTGTAAAATATTTTGTTCTGGGGAAAGCATCACATTGGCAAAGGAGAGGGGGGACAGTGTTAAGTCAAATCTCCTACCACAGCCCAATGAAAAAGCAACTGTGACTGCTGCTATATTCAGCAACACTGTAAAAGAATTCCAGTTCACGTTTCAGGAAGCAGCATGAGTAATTATTCCATAAACCAAGCCTGCTTTTCTTCAGCCCACCCAAAGGCCGAGCAGGAAATCTGTCAAGGAGGGCTGTCAAAAGCAAGAATCAATTTGCATAGATTTAATTAAATGGCATACTTTCAAATGTCATGCAAATCAGAAGTGCACAAGAGAGAGGTAGCAAACCTAGTTAAGAATGAAAAAGGGCAAACAGTAGGCTTGGGGCAGCTCAGCAGTTATATTTATGGCCTAGAAGGGACCTGGGATCTTTGCTCTGATGTTAAGTTCTCAAGAGATATATCTTAATAATATGTAATTTATGGAAGACACTTTTTTGCAAGGCGCATGAACCTACACTTCTGAAAACCAACATAATTGTTAAAACTCTTGGGATGAAGATTCAAAGAATTTAGGTCAGTGTTCTCACACTTGGGCCTCTGATGCCAAATTGTTTAAATACATGGCCCTTTTCCAAGAAAGTCTGAAGACTAGTAAATATTAGCACCCTGAGAAGCAATTTTACCCACTTATTTTCTCTTTACAAACATAACAATGTATGTATTTTGAAACACACTTAGCCTAGGGTTCTAGTTTAAAAGTCTAGATCTAGAAAGACATGGACAGGCAAGCATACAGGTCTCTCTGTAAATAATAGAGGTCTATACCAACACAAAATGATTCACCTTATAAGCTTGCATGAGCATGTGGATGACTCCGGGGGCACCATGGCACCAGTGAACTAGTCTGTCAGTCTCATTGCTCAGTGACGACGGGTAGTTCCCAGACCGGAATTTTTTATGACGCACATAGTCAATGCTTGGCTTCACCAGCTCTGCCAGGGTCTCCTGGTCCACATTTGCAATTGGCTAAAGAAAACATTAAAAAAACCCAAACATTACCAAACCCATAAACAGAAGTAGTAACAAATCGTGTGATGACACTTAATTCTCCAATCTATTTTCAAGTACCCTACATACATGCCCTTTATCCAAGTACTGTGAATCACTTCATACAGATTTAATAAATGCTTATAATACCCTTGTGAAGAGCATTTTTACAGTTACTCCAGAGACAAAGAAATTGGGGCACCAAGTTGTTACCTGTTTTACTGGAGGTGACACAGAAAGATTATGGAAGAACTGAGAACAGAACACGGATTTCAAGACACCCAGGCCTCTCTATATACCTTGAAACAGGGAGAACACTTACAGGAGGAAGATGGTTTTATAGTTGTGGCACTCATAATACACACTTAAAACATATCAGGTTACACATTTTGTTTTAAAAATAACTATGTCCCAGCAAATGAAGAAGAGTGTATATAGCAGCATACCTGGCAAAGGTTTATGAAGGTTAAAGTTCTCCATCCGAAACAAAATTCCCCAATGCTATGGGCTATAAACCCACATTCCCAATTTCAGAAACAATAGCTACCTCACTAGCTAACTAAGCATCTCTGTGCTACAAACTCATCCTTTGATTGCTCGTCTGAATTTCCTTTCTCATTTTTGTTATTTAGTTTACACCCTTGCCAAATGGAGAATACATCCATCAGCCTGCATGCTTCTTGTAACTACAGGTTTAGAAGCCAAGTAACTGCTGGGTCTGCAGTTGCTCTTTGTTGGCATTCCCTCCTCTACCAGCCCATTTCACAGCATTTCAATAACAGAGCTCTCTATTTTTACACAACTTACATGATTTCTGGAATTCCCGCAGACACTGGAGCCTACAGGAGCCTAATAACTGAGCCTATTCTTTTCATAACTTGTCTTTATTGCTGATTCAATGTCATAAAATTTCCATTTCCCACCAGCTCCAGCACATTTTCATTCAACAGGTGTGCACACTCCTACAACTGAAAGTCTGACAGCCAAGTGAAGGAAAACTTTGAATAGCTGTACTTTGCATAACCTGATGAAACCAAAAGCTTCTATTACACCTCAGCCAGGAAACTTTTGCTAGACTTCTATCTACCTTCAAGCAGACTCCAGCTCTGCACTTTTCTGAGTGGAACAGAAACCTTCACACATTGCTCCTCAGAAGTACACCTGAATATAGATCAGGTTTTCCTCATTTGGTGTGGGAGGGATGGGGAAAAGATGAAACTCTGATATGCCATCTTCTTCTGCAGTGGATGACTCAACTTTGCATGACTCACAATATTTAATGTACAGTGAAAAGATGGTAATCTAATGCTGCATAAACAATGGCTTTGTGGTAATTCTTAAAAGCAGCAATTACATGTAAAGGAAAAATAGTTACGATTCAAACATGTAGACAGAGTAGCTTTTGCTCAAACCAAAAAGCACTGTGCCATTACTTCTGCTATCAGCCTTGAATAGTAAATGAAGGATGGAGCCTTTAAAGAGACTTCTTTGGAGGACTGGATGTTTCTCAGAAAATCTAGCAGAGCCAGGGAAGGAAAAATGGAAACCAGAAAGATGAGGGAGCCAGAAGGGGGTGGACAACCCTGCTGAAAAAAGCAGTAAGCAAAGATAAGAGCACAGTAAATCAGAGAAGCCTGAGGCCCCAGTGGGATGGTCACTGCAGAAAATGGCTGCAGAAGGTTAAGACATGCCCCCAGGTAGCAGAACAGTAGCCACTTCCATAGCAAAGTCAGCTGCTTTAACTGGACCTACTGGTGGAAGTGTGTGACCTAATTTGAAACAGATAGGGAGAAGTCACAGCATCTTTTCCAAGTGAGGAACAGCTGAGCAGTGGCAACACCAAATACCAGCTCAGTCACTTCTGCTGTGAACATTCATACACAGCTTTAGGCTGCAAAGATATACAGTCTTTCCACCTGCCTGAAGGAAAGTTATTTTGCATGAGCTGGTAAGGAAATTAATGAAAAACCAGAAATAGGTGCAATACAATTTTGCAGCTCTATGGCCATCTTCTGTAATGAATCTTAATCCTCTTTTACCAGATTGTAAAACAGAAATAAGATACACAGGTCTGTTTGAAGATCACCATAATCCTGTTGGAGAATCTCAGGGCAATGGGGAACTGATTTAAGTGTGGGAAAGAACAGACATACAGAAGAGAGGAATCTCACTCAGGACAGCAGAAAGAAGAGAGCAGGGGTCATACATACACTAAGGACTATCAGACTTTCATGTAAGAAATAGGGAGATAAGGAAAAAAAAAAATCTAAATATTAAAAGCATACTGCAGACTAATGTGTGATTAAGGATAGTCTTCCCAAAGCATCAAGACAGTGAAGAAAGCCCCAAAACACCAGAGAGAAGAGGAAGGGCACAAAGGACAGGAGGCACCAGCAGTGCACTCATTTAAAAATAACAAAAAAATGAAGAGTGATAGATGGTGACAGCAAATATTTAGCTGGTCTAACTGTAGGCACCAGAAGAAATAGGAAGATGAGAGAAAGCACCTCACCATCTCTGCTGAGGACAAGAAACAAGATCCTGGAAAGCCAGTGAACTGAACTACACTCACAAGTTAATTGACTCTAATGGGAGGATAGCCTAGCCACAGTTTTCTTCTGCTGTACCTCAGGGTCTGAGGTAGTATCTCTGCACAGAAACTAGTCAGACCATGCTGCAGTCTAACTCCCAACTGTGAGACCCTGACCCAGCACAGCACTGCACATGCATGAAAGCTGAAGATAAGATCCTCTGATGCAAAACAAGAAATCACTGCTGCTTCACCCCAGTCCACAGAAGATACTCTTACCTGCATGAGCATGTAATAGATCCCAGACATTCCATGGGCAGCTCCAACATACTGCTTCCTGTGCCACTGGTACAACAGAGGACAACGGTCTGTTTTCCGCTCCTCCTTTGAAAAGTTTTTCCCTGATTCAATAATAGCATCTATTACCTAAGGAAAAGAACATACCCCATCCATCTGTCTCACTTTCTTTGATTCAGAGGGTTTTGCTTTGGCATGACTAAAACCACAGTAACGCATAAGCCACAATAAACAGCAATAGGACAACAACATTCAATTCATTTGGATTTGAGTGTTGAGGTAGAAATGGTATTTTTCCTTAGTGATGGAATCACTTATATTTTTAGAGCAGAAATATAATATAGAAATATTTCTAAACACTTTTTTCCAGGCCTGCCTTCTCTGGTTCTGGTATCTGCAAAACAGTCATGCATATTCCCCACACTGAATTCTCCTTCCTTTCACTTAAACACTTCCACACTTCTGTCTTAAGGTTTTTTTGTGACAGTGACTCAGCCTCAAATGTTCTGAAACTACTTACAATATAGTCTGATTTCCATGGCTGGACATGGACCCACCCACACTGGCCTGTCTCAGTCCCAGCTGGGGAGCAGGGAAAGGGGGAAGGGATTGGAGGGACAGAAGAAACTGGATTCCCAGTTCTAGGTCCCTCTTCTCTGCAGCATCCCCTCTCTTAATCATTTGAATTATGCAAGGGAGTGATCCCTGTTCAACCTCACTGATGCTGTGACACTGGAGAGAGAAAAGTATCTTACCTCTTTGATAACAGACTGTGGGACAGTGTCTGGACCAATTTCAGTATTTAGGTACAGCAAGGCATACAGGTAACCTGCTCTGCCATAAAGCAGCTCATCTGGAAGTTCATTATCTGTGCTTATGACTGTCCTTTGGAGCTGCAACAACCTGCATCAGACAAGGAAGGCGAGGAGAGAATCTTCTGTAGAGACCATAGTAACTATGCATTGTACAAGCATAGTTACAATCAAAGTTACAATAGTTACAAAAGCTACAATCATAGTGACAATCAAGTTACATAGTTACAATCAAACCAGGAGCAAAACAAGCGGTGAAGCCCCACCACTTTCCTTCAGTCACCCCCAGTTCAGCTGGCTGCCAGGTTTACACACAGGAGCTCTGCATGCTGGCCATCCCTGAGAGAGAAAACTATGAGCCAGAGCCAGGATAGCACTACTGCTACAGTTGTCAGGCTTTTATGCAGACAGAAACAGATGTATAGGTGCAGGGTATGGGTTGAAGGAGGCTGGAGAGCTACTCCAACAAAGAAAAAACCTCCTGGAGCCTCTAGGAATTTCACCAAAGTGAGCAACCCTTAGCTGTAGATGCATAAGAGGGGGAAAAAACCAAACACACAAAAACCCAATACCACCTTTCAACCCTCCCTCTCCCAAGATAACACATTGCCTCAAAGGTTTAGCACCCTAGTTTTGAAAAGGACACTGGTATTATGCACAAGTGTTTTGCTTGACTTTAGCACTGAAAAAAAGCAAAAACGAAAACCCAAAAAAACCTTTGGGCTGGCCATCATAACTCCCATTTTCTCCAAAGAGACTCCTGCTATTACTCCACCACTCTGCATGAGCACTGAGATGGATCAGAGATCTGTTTTCCTGCCCACTCCTTCCCTGTCTCTTCCTATCTTTTGTGATTAAATTGGTAACCAGATGAAACCATGGCGATGATCACATTTACACTGGGGGAGGGGAAAACCAATCCAGATTATGACTAAATTGAATTCCCAGATCTCCCCCCGTCACTATTTCTCGGCAGAAATGTTAGCATTAACATCACGCCAGAGCAAAACTACTGACCTCAATCGTGTGCTTATGCTGTTACTGCTTAATACCATGAAAAAGTCATTCTTTAAAAAAAAAAAAGTGCTTTATATTATTATTCCTTTCTTGGAACTATAATTTGGACTTAGAATTAAGTTATTTTATTCTAAACTGTCCACTGTGTCATTGTTGAAATAATACAACTGGACAGCTACAAGGTAAAAAGTTAAAAGTGAAATTATAGATTACATTTTGACGTCAATTACGTTCCACTCAGCTGGTGTCATGAGTATATTTGTAAACAAAAAGGAAGAAAATAAATAAAAAAAATCAAACTAAACTCCTTTTCAATACTCCTCCTAGAAATTAATTTCCAAGCAGAGACAAGACTAAAAGACTTGCTGCTAATCTCCTTTTGCTACACTCACGCTTCATGCCTTACAGCAGCACTGCTTTCCTAGCTACATCCAAAATGGCATGCCAAAATTTACTGCCAGTTTTAAAAGCAAAAAAACCCAAACCCAACACTCATTTCAAAACTGAAATATTTATTCAGGAACAGCAGCAGAGATTAATCACACTAGGATTCTAGATTAGAAAAAGCCTGACTACATTTCCAAATATAAACCAGAATGGAGATGAGGACATAACCCCAGTCACAAGTTCCGGTAGCCTAAGGTATGCTGCTGGACAACTAGCAGGTGGATTGCTGGTGCCAAATGCAAACCCCACAGGGTTCCAGTGCTCCTAGCCCTTGCTGGAACAGCAACCAGCTCCATACCAGCAAAGGCGCAGTCAATTCCCAAATGAAGCTACATCTAAATCGGATTTCTTCAGATATTTGTTACATTTAGATTACTTTGAAAAGGGGCTGGAATTTTTCAGGCCACCCTTTACATGCTCTGCCCTTGCAAACAGTTGCTCTTTGTTTTATTACATCTTTGCTACATATCACTTAGATGTAGCATGTTTCTGTCTGGCTGTTTCCAAATCCTGTAGATTCATTACATGTTTTGCAATGAACCTACAATTAAGACCTACTCTTTACAGGAAGCATCACATACTGCACAAGCACTACATACTGCCAACGACGAGTGTGCAGCTTTTGTTGAATGTTACTTCAATGTGATAAAATCAAAACGTGCACGCACTACAGATATGCCCAGGACATCCTGTCCTGACAGCAATAGAGGACTCAAGATAACCTCCTAAATATGAATCAAGTGTAAGCCAGCTTTAAAAAGATAAAGCCTATTTTGTATTCTTCTACTGAAAATATATCAGGGGAGAAAGTGTCCCATTATTTAATCCTGTCCTCTAAAACTCCACTTGCAAAAGTTACTGAACCAATGCTCTCTACAAATGAAAGGCAAGGTTTTCACCACCATTAACCACTTACTTGGCAACACATTCTTTAGATTCACTGTCATTTTTGAGTTTGTGATAAACCACTGCACCCACTGCCAATGGCCCAGCATCACCACAGAGGAAAGTAACTCTTCTGCCATTCAGATTGCGAAGGATTCTCTTCACATAATCAAGAGATCGCTGCAAATGGCTCTGTTTTTTCGTGACACGGTACAGTTGCAGATATAAGAGGGCAATACCTGAAACAAACACGTGAAGAAGAGATAGTTTCACTTACTTTTCCTTACAAGTACATCATATTCCCCTCTTTGGTGCCTCTGAACCAGCTACTCAAATGTGAACAGGTATTTGGACAATAAAAACATATGAGTCAAGGGTTCCAGCTTATGCAACATGAAGGCATCAGGCCATCTATTTTGATTACATTTCAATTTGGATTCTGGCAAAAAAAAAAAAAAAAATCAGAAGGCCAATGGTAGACTTATCGTTTCCAGAAAACGAAGAAAATTCATGACACAGGCCTCAATGCTTGGTGAAGAAATCACTGAAGTTTCAAAGTGTTCATGACAATAATTGTACAATACTCATCTATCACATGCAAAACCTGACTTATTTCCCATTCGATTTGTAAAAGGATCTTTCGACGAGTTTTTAGATTCAACTTTCCAAGGTCTTTATAACCCTTAATGTATTTCACAAGAAAATTATGAGCTTGTACAAGTCCAGCTGGCTTGTAGAAGTCGGAAAGCAAAGAATTCCTCAGAGAATGCTAATTCGTAAAAGGAGCTTTTGACGAGTTTTTAGATTCAACTTACCAAGGTATTTATAACCCTTAATGTATTTCACACGAAAATTATGAGCTTGTACAAGTCAAGCTGGCTTGTAGAAGTCCGAAAGCAAAGAATTCCTCAGAGAATGCTGGAAGGTGCTGCCAAGCTTCACTCCCTTAAACTAATTAGTTTTCCATTAAAGCAAACGCTACCAAGCTTCACTCCCTCAAACTAATTAGTTTTCCATTAAAGCAAAATACAAAACTCTAAAAGTTGCAACAATGTAGACCCAAGAAATCCATCTAAGTGGATGTCTATTGGCCAATTACAAGCATACATGTAGCAGAAGTAAAACAAGTACCTCCAGACTACATTGTAACTCAAACTCATTTCTGAAGAGGGAGAGCACTCTGTTGAGCCTCACCTAAAGCCATGTACACACCAGGCCCACTTAGCTCACAGAGAAGCTACCTGAGTAGTACAAGAACAAAAGCACCACAGAATGCTGGTACATCCTCAGACGTTCCCTGGATTGGCTCTGAACAAGCCTCTCTAGATGAGTCCAAGAAGAAAGCTGCAGAGCTTGGGTAGCCCAATTCAGTGTCACAGGAACTTGTGGGCTATTTACAGGGATTTCTGGAATCTGTTTTTATGTTGCAACAAAAGCATAGATATCTGAGCTTGACCAAAGGATGATCAGAAGAGTAGCTATGAAATCCAGTTCACCCAGTGCTTCCTAGAGCAACACCCTTAAAATGGCTCCTCCAAGACATCTGGCACA